GTCTGCCAGGGCCAGAGAAAGCAAAAGATACTATTCCTCCAGAGTTTCAAACCTTGGCCTTTCTGGCGGCGATGGAGGAAGGCGCCAGAGTTGCTGAATGAATGAAAACCGAGCTTCCTTTACATGAAACAAAACGGGGGGGGTGTGTGTGTTTTGTTTTTAGGGACAATTACAGCCTCTGAAAGCCAGGTCCCCAACCTCCCAGCCTTGACCAGTGCCGTCCAGCTCTCCTCCTGGGGCTCTCGCCTTCCACAGTGGGTTCTGCTGTGGATCAAACACTCCTCCCAGAGAGGTGGAGAAGTCATTTCTGGGACCCTGGGGCCTCCAAAGTTTTGGCAGAAGTGGCAGTGTAGCTGGCATTTGGGACAGCAAATAAAGTGGATGAAGAGGGGGTAATGGGGGCCTCAGTCTGCCCAGGCCCTGTCGGTGCTCGCATTTGGGGGAAGCGGAACTCTTGGCTGAGGCTTGCTTTCTAGGGTTCAGGTTCCCAATGACACACTTCCCGACCCTCAGGTGCCAGTGCCCGGGTAGTTACAGCTCAGGCCTCAGAAGGATTCCCCTCCACGGCATCACACAGTCTTGCTCTCAGCCCTGGGAACCGTTGCTGACAAAAATATAGGAATGATGAAAAAAAATCAAAGCAGAGGCGTGGCAGCTTGGATCGCATTCGAATGGAGACTTTTGCGGGGGGGGGGGGGGCAGGGGTGGGGTGGGGAGAGAAAAGTCGAGCTGGAGAGGGTTAGCTGAATCAAATTCCTGCTCTGTCATTTTTCTCCCAAGTAATGACCCTGCGCAAAATTCAATATGACCGAGCGAGCGAACTGCGTGAGCATAGGATAGCCTGCTCGTGGGGGGAGGCCCGGGGAGGGGTGAACCACAGGTCACGGCGTCTAAAAATTATTAAAATGTTCGGGAGCCTCGTGACGCGCCTAGCTGTTTAACAAAGACTGCCAAAGTATGAGATTAATACGAAAACTTGCGCTTCAAAAACAAAACAAAACAAAACAAAAACACACCAAAAAAAAAAAAAAAAAAAAAAAAAAGCCTTTTTCCGGCCTCCGAGGGGGCCTTGCGGTTCCTCCGCCCGCTGGCGGCCGCGGTTCGGTTTTCCGGACACACAATAGTGGACAGGAGAGAGCTCAGCTGTTGCTCAGCGGGCCTCGGCGGGGAGCGGCTGGGTGAGTAGTCTTGCCGCCTCAGGCCCTCGCTTTTCTCAGCGGCGCTTGGGGTGCCCGGGCTTGCTTGCTTAGGGACCGGCCTCTGCCTGGCCCTCGGGTTCCTGTTCCTTCCTGCCCTCCCTTCCAACTCCCAACTCGCCCACCAAAGGTGAACGCTCTTTCTGGGATGGCGGAGGAGGGGTGGGCTGGCCGGTGAGGGGTCGTGGAGCCAGCAACCTGTGGCTGCCAGGGGATGGGCGGCTAAGTGGCCTTCAGGGCACCCTGGGAGCACGAGCGAGGTGGCCCAGGACCTGCGCCGGTCTCCGACCCTGCGTCTTCCTCTTGTTGTTGGTGGTGTTCTGGGCGTAGAGAGGTGAGGCGGCCTCTAGCTGCGGTGAGACCTGTCCTTGGGGGGGGGGGGGGAGTTGTTGCTGATAAACCCTGTCTTCCCCTGGCGCTTACACGGGGAGGGGGTGTGGATGGGGGTTGCACGCGCGCGGGGGAGGAATAGGGTGCCTGGTGGGAGGGCAGGTGGCGATTCTCCAGTTCGCAGAATGGGAAAAAAAAAAAAAAATCTCAGGACGCGCCCCTAGGTTCAGCCCTTCTCGGCAATTGCCTTCTTTGTGCTCCCATTCCTCTCTCTCTCTTGGTGCTCAGGAAACCTGGGCCACATCCCTCCTTAAGTGTAGATCAGTGAAGAGTCCAGACAGCCCAGTGGCTCTGCCAAACCTCAGTTGAGCAGGACAGGAGGTATGGGACAGGGGCGAGGCCTAAACACCCTTGGAGAAGACTTTATCCTTGCTTGGTGCTAGGATCAAAGCAGCACACTGTATCTATGGATGGCCAGATTGAGCCATGTCTTTGAGGAAGATAAAAACTACTCTCTCTCTCTCTCTCTCTCTCTCTCTCTCTCTCTGTCATGTTTGAGTCTGGCTTAGCTGGGAGAGCATTAGGGGTGAGAAGCCAAACCCAGAGGCCGACGTTGTAATGCCTAGCTATGTGAGGTTTAAAAACAAAAACAAAAACAGCAGCAGCAGCAGCAGCAGCAGCAGCAGCAGCAGCAGCAGCAGCAGAGAGAGGTCTCAGGACCCAGTCTCCTGCAGCTGGGAGCTCTCCTGCCCGCCTGCAAGGGCCCCCGGTGTGTTTAGCCCGTTGTTTGCATACGCATACGTATGTTCGGGAAACAGACAAGTGTTCTCATTTACTCAGTAAGGACAGAAGCATTTCCTAAACCTAAGGATCTGGGTGGTGATGAAGCTTCCCGCTGGACACACCTGCCCTCCCTCACCTGGTCACCGTCTTGGGGAGGGGGTGGGGTCTGAGCTCCAGTTCCTTCTAGCTCAATTTCTCAGTCTCCAGTTTAGTGCATCAGCAGTTCCCGGGGAACCTCAGAAAGTTCATTCAGAAGCTCCAGAATCCCACCCAGGCCCGCCCCACTGGCACCAACCCAAGCAGGTGGATGGGCCCAGTTGGTGTGTCTCTGGATCCAGGACCTCTGCCTGGGGCCGAGAAGTGGGTGTGGGGCCCTCCCACACCCTCTAGGGGATTGTCCCCCTCATTCCAGCCCCCAGGAGGTGTGAGGGAGATGGGAGGTCGGGAGGGGCCCCGGCATCATCTGGCGGCAACTTTTATGGTTCCTCATTGCCCTTCCTTCGGAAATGAAACGCCTTTGATCTTTTTCTCAGGTTGTAAACGGAATTGCCCATCATTAAATATCTGGGGGGGGGGGGGCCCATCTGCTTAGTCTCCCAGCATTTTTCTTCACAGCTGTTTCTCTTTCTTTTTACCATTCAATTTTTCCAAAAGGACTTTTATTACACCCCTTTTCACACCCAGCCGCCTCTCCCCCCCCCCCCCTTTGCTTTGGAAAATATCGAGATATTCGTTTGATCACAAACTAAAGGCTTGTGGGGGTAAGGGAGGAGCCGATTTGGTTAAAAAAAAAAAAAAGTCATAGGGGGAGGGGAGGGGCTGAGGGTATCCAGAAAGGCCTGATTCTGACTTCGAGGCAGCCTCAGGATGACCCTTCCTCCTTTTGTGCTTAGCTAATGTTTACATCTCATAATTCATGCGCCACCGAAAGTCGCGAGGCGGCCACGAGGTTCGAGTCCCTTTGCAAACGGCTGCTTTTCTTTAATTTTATTTTACTTTATTATTATTATTTTTTAATAGGGAGTTGAAAAACCTTTTAACCACAAGGACAGAGCCACAGTGACTTTTTTTTCTGCTCCCAGGGCTCAAAATTAAAGCAAAATGAAAAAAAAAAAAAAAAAAAAAAAAAAAAAAAAAAAGGAAAGCATTCAGACCACACCCAAAAGAAGAACGCACGGAAAGTAAGAGAACTGGAAATTTCCCGGGCCAAGAAGACCTGTCTGTCTTCTGTATATACCCTGTAGATCCGAATTTGTGTAAGGAATTTTGTGGTCACAAATTCGTATCTAGGGGAATATGTAGTTGACATAAACACTCCGCTCATTTTTATTTTCCCAGAAGAAAAAAGTAGATTATTTTCTAAATGAGGACAACCCAGTGACTGGCTTCGAGAAGACCCCTCCCTTTTCTTTTCCTCTCTCAACTGGCTAGGGAGAGATCTCATCTTACCTGAGGTGTCCCCACTGCCTGCCCCTGGAAGCCTGAGTCCTTGTTCACTCAAGACGTTTCATGCTACTGGTGTTTGAAAATTTATCCTTAAGCTCAAACCTACGCATTTTCTATTCTGGGTCGGGGGGGGGGGGCTTTTTTGGAAACCAGGGGGGAGGGGGGAGAAAAAAGATCTCTATCGCCCGAACTGTGCAAAGGCAAAGGAAATTTGCTTTTCAAACGAATGCGGAGGCCGCCGGTCCGTTGGGTGCGGGGCAGGGCGCCCAGAACATAGGAGGCTGCTGTGGGTGTTGCGGTGTGGGTGGTGGTGAGGTCACGGCTAAGGCTGGCTCCTTTCCCCGGGACCACGCAGGGGTGACACTGAGAGGCCGCGGCTTCGGCGGCGATGGGGACTCGGCGCCGCGGACAGCGCTGCTTGGACGGGCCTGGAATTAGCAGGCGGCTCCTGCGGTCCTTTTAGAAACTTGCGCGGATTTTCGTTCTGCATTATTCCAGCCTCTGTCGTTAGCTGGGGGTGGGGTGGGGGGAGTCAAGTCCTTGGGCCTCGCGGGTCAAAGGGAGGGAGCGGTTCGAGGAGGACGGCCCGACGGACGCCGGGAGAAGCTAACGGGGCGGCTCGGACGCGATCCGGAGGGCCGGGTCTCCCCGAATTAGCGCGTGAATTTGCTATCGATCCGCCCGCGCTTCCATTCATCTCTGACAAACCTCCCCGCGCGCGCACCCGCCCTCCTGGCTCCCGACGCCTCCTCGCTCACCTCCCGGCCCTCCCCATCTGCCGAGCCGCCTCCAGCTCGGCGCCCCCTAAACCCAGTGGGTGCCCCTTTAGGGGAGGGGACCCCCTCCCCCCCACACCCCACACACTCCAATCACTCCACTCCCCTCGCGAACACCCTGGGCCTGGGCTCCTCGTCACTCTGGGGGGGGAGATGGGGCGCAGGGGGAGGGGGAAGGAGCTGCACAGGGCGCCCCTACTTCTGAGGGGGGATGCAGGGATCGTGCTCCGCCCAGCCTAATAATAATAATAATAATAATAATAACAACAACAATAATAAACCGGGCCCTCCGGGCTTAAGCTGCACCCCCTCTCCCAGCCCTTCCCCTCTCCGCGGCGGAGACAGGCGGGCGAGGAGGGGGTCGTCCCGCAGGAGCCCTATGTAAATCCTGGGGTCGGGTGGGTGGGTGGGGAGGGGGGGAGAGAAGGGGAAATAAAACCTCTTTGGCTGGAGTGGGGTCCGGGTGAGCAGATTTCCTTATCCGGGAATCGCAGGCCGGGTGGCCATTGGCTCGGCGGATCACGTGGGGCCCTAACTTTGTTCACTTGACAGTAAGTAGGAGGGCTCTCGGAAAACAGGAACACGAGTCAGGGGGTCGGAATAAATTTTTTAGTTATTATTATTTTTTTTTTGGTGGGGGGCCCGGTTTCTCCCTCTCCCCCCCCCGCCCCGCGACATTAATGGCCATGAGTTCGTTCCTGATCAACTCAAATTATGTGGACCCCAAGTTCCCTCCGTGCGAGGAGTACTCGCAGGGCGATTACCTCCCCAGCGACCACTCGCCCGGGTACTACGCCGGCGGCCAGAGGCGAGAGAGCGGCTTCCAGCCGGAGGCGGCCTTCGCGCGCCGCGCGCCCTGCACCGTGGCTCGCTACGCGGCCTGCCGGGCCCCCGGGCCCCCGCCGCCGGCCCCCCCGCCCCCCCCGCCGCCGCCCCCCGGGCTGTCCCCCCGGGCCCCCGTGCAGCCGCCGCCGCCGCCTCCTCCTCCGCCGCCTCCTCCTCCGGCCTCCTCCGGGGCTCACCTCCCCGAGCCCGGGCACCGCTGCGAGGCGCTCAGCGGCAGCCCCCCGCCGCCTCCCTGCGCCCAGAACCCCCTGCACCCCAGCCCGTCCCGCTCCGCTTGCAAAGAGCCCGTGGTCTACCCCTGGATGCGCAAGGTCCACGTGAGCACGGGTGAGTGAGTGGGCGCTCCTTCCCCTCCCGCCCCACCCCGCCAGCGTGGGGACCTCCGAGGCCTGGGGGGGGGGGGTGGAACCTGGGGAGGGGGGGAGAGAAAGCCAATTGTGTCTTCCCCCCCATCCCGCTATAAACTCGCCATTGCCCGGAGATTTACGGTCCCCTGTTTTCAGAGCCACATAATTACATCGCCCATAAATTTTTACGGCCTGGTGGGCCCCGCGTCTTTGAAGTCATCCTCTTCTTCATTCTCCTAGCCACTTTTTTTTTTTTTCTTTCCCCCCAGCCAGGGAGATGCAATCCCAGGGAAGTTGGAAGTTGGGGAGGGGTGTGGGAGGAGGTGAGGGGGAGCAGCAGCAGGAGGAGGAGGAGGTATTTAAGCAGAGAGTTGCATCAACTTCCAGGCTTTACTTTTTTCTTCTTCTTCTGCTCTCCCCCCCCCCCCTTTCTTCCAGACTGGTTCCTTGGCTAGAGAAGTGGGCAAAAGTTTTTGTTTTTGTTTTGTTTTTGACCGGGGGCGGGGGGTGGTGGTGGGAGAAGGCGCTGCTTGGAAATCTGAGGGTGGGGATTAAACCCAGGAGAGGTCCGGGGCAGCACCCCTCCCTCTCCTACCCTTTCAGGTCCCTACCCGGGGTCCCCAGGCCAAAACAGTGGGTTGGAAAGTCTCTCCAGGCTTCCTCACCGTGCCCCCCCCCTCCCCCGGGCCACGGGACGAGGGCGCAGCCCTCCAAAAGTTGGAGGTCTTCCTCTCACACCCCCTCCCTCTCTCCCTCCCTCCCTCCCTGAACTGAGGTAGCGGGACCAAGGGACCGGGTGTGAGCTGGAAGGAAGGGTTTCCCCTCCTCCCTTTCGGGGGCAATAAAACTTTCTCTTTCTCCCCCCCTCCCCTCTCCGTGTGTGTCCAGTAAACCCCAATTACGCCGGCGGGGAGCCCAAGCGCTCCCGGACCGCCTACACCCGCCAGCAGGTCCTGGAGCTGGAGAAGGAGTTTCACTACAACCGCTACCTGACGCGGCGCCGCAGGGTGGAGATCGCCCACGCGCTCTGCCTGTCCGAGCGCCAGATCAAGATCTGGTTCCAGAACCGGCGCATGAAGTGGAAAAAAGACCATAAGTTGCCAAACACCAAGATCCGCTCGGCTGGCACCGCGGGTGCAGCTGGAGGACCCCCCGGCCGGCCCAACGGAGGGCCCCCGGCACTCTAGTGACCCCCACCCACCCAAGCAGGAGCTAGAACCTGGGGGGGGGCGGGGGGGGCAGTGAGCACCGAAGGGGGGTGCGGGGCATGGGAAGGGTCCCCGGGCTTGAGCCCAGAAAAACCTATCTACCCTACCCCCCCCCAACTTTATCCATAAGGAATAAACGCAGAGAAAGGGTGGGTAGGGGAGCCTTATTTATAGAGACGACAATAGGGAGCCGGGTAACGTCCTCCGGGAGCAAGATTGTCTTGCTTTCTTCCTTTAAAAAGAAGAAAAGAAAAAGGAGAGAGAGAAAAAAAGGGGGGGAAGGAAGGAAGGAAGAAAAGAAGAAGGACGAAAGGAAAAAAAGACAGAAAGAGAAATGGAGGAGGCTGCCGCGCCTGGTTTTCAGCTTTGGTGAAGATGGATCCACGGTTCATCTTTAATCATGCCAGGCCTTAGGGCCCATCTGTCTTGTTTACTCTGCCGAGGAGAGGGTGAGCTTCGGTGGCGACCATTACCTCGACACTCGGCTAACAAATGAGGGCCGGCCCGGCCGCCGCCGCCGCTGCCGCCGCCACCTCTGCTGCTGCCGCTGCTGGACCACAGCCTGGATTTTCTTTCTTTGTCCCATTACTCCTGACACCCCAGCGAATGCACCCTCTGACTGCCAGATAGCGCAGTGTTTTGGCCACGGTAACAAACACACACGTAACTTCTCTCCCTGTCTGTGCCCACTTTTGGGGGTGGGCGAGGACTGCTCCCTCCTTTCCACCGCAGGCCTAGGAGGGGAACAGAAGGGGAGCGAGGGAGGGGTGGTTCCCGAATCTGAACCCAAGAAATTAAAAAAAAAAAAAAAAATTGAGACACCCAGGAGGGCCTTCTGCCTGAAGGCCCAGCCAGGCCTGGCGGGGTGAGGGGCATTTGAGTTTCAGTTGCTGGGAGTGTCCATGCTGGTCCATACAGCAGAGGCCTTGTCTTAGACTACAAATGAATGTGAAGTTAGGAAATAAAAATGCTGTGGCCCTCCGACCCTGGAAGGACAATGTTGCAGAGCCCTCTCCCGTTGTTGCATCGTTTATTATTATTATTAATATTATTATTATTATTATTTTATGTCATGTGTGTCCTCTCTCCTGTTCTCTTTTCTGACATTCCAAACCAGGCCCCTTCCTACCTCTGGGGCTGCCTGAGCCTAGAGCCTTTTGTTGGTGTGAAAATTTGTGTCCTGTACAGAGACAACAGAAATAAATGTTTGGTTTCACGTGGACCATCACATCGTGTTTTTGTTGGAATGTTGATGTTAAAGATTATGGACAAGTGCCGCCCAGTGTACATGCTAAGCGCCCTAGTGGGTATGGCCTCCTCCAAATGAAGGGCTTCTTCTTCTTCTTCTTCTTCTTCTTCTTCTTCTTCTTCTTCTTCT